GAAGAATGGCAGATAATTGCAAAATGCTGATGAGTAAAGCTTGTCGCATCAAACAAAAAAGACTTGAGGCTGTAAAGGTGCTTCAGCTAAATTTTTAGTTAAGGGTATGAATACTTATGCAATTTACTTATTTCATTTTTATTAAATTTACGAAGTTGTGACAATTCTGTTTTTGCTTTGTCAGTATGGTGTATGGAGTGTAGATTGATGTGGAAAAAAGTAATTGAAAGAAGTTTATCATAAGGCAGCAACATAACAAAACGTGAAAGGTGTATGAAAACTTTCGCAAGGCACTGTATATATATATTATATTTACTGTATATGTTACATAGAAGTTATATCTATGTTTCATCAACTTATATCAAAATATATGATGGTATTTTGTGTATTATTTTCACAAAATATAATTTTTTTATAGGTAACAGCATAAATGTTTTTATGTTGTTACATGCGGTTACATTATAAAAACTAAATGCATCTGGCATTATGTCTGTTTTTATATGGTTACAAAAGAAAAATTCTCATGAACCCAAAAAATAACCCTTGAAAATCAACATCAGGATGCAAATATTCATTCATGCTGGAAACAACCAATATTTAGCCGGTGTTATTCTTCCATTATATATCAGCATATATAAAGTTTGTTATATCCACAGAAATCTGTGACTGCTTTTAACTACAACACCTTGTGATGCCAATTTCTTATGTAAAACAGACTCTTGTGATGTAGACTAAGGGTTATTCCAGCGCAGCTGGAGGAAAACAAAACTAGAGGTATTTCGTATTGCTTGGCGGGAAAGTAACCTATCCTACAGAAAAGCATTAAAAACTGCTAGATCTGATTACTTTTCTTCTCTTTTAGAAGAAAACAAACATAACCCCAAGTATTTATTCAATACAGTGGCTAAACTAACGAAAAATAAAGCATCAACAAGTGTTGACATTTCCCAACAGCACAGCAGCAATTACTTTATGAACTACTTTACTTCTAAAATCGATACTATTAGAGATAAAATTGTAACCATGCAGACGTCAGCTATAGTATCACATCAGATAGCTCGCTATAGATCGCCTGAGGAACAATTCCACACATTCTCTACTATAGGAGAGGAAGAATTGTATAAACTTGTTAAATCATCTAAACCAACAACATGTATGTTAGACCCTATTCCATCTAAGCTCCTAAAAGAGGTGCTTCCAGAAGTCATAGATCCTCTTCTGACTATTATTAATTCATCATTGTCATTAGGATATGTCCCAAAAACCTTCAAACTGGCTGTTATTAAGCCTCTCATCAAAAAAACACAACTTGACCCCAAAGAACTAGTTAATTACAGACCGATCTCGAATCTCCCTTTTCTGTCCAAGATACTAGAAAAGATAGTATCCTCACAATTATATTCCTTCTTAGAGAAAAAATGGTATCTGTGAGGATTTCCAGTCAGGATTTAGACCGTATCATAGTACCGAGACTGCTCTCATTAGAGTTACAAATGACCTGCTCTTATCATCTGATTGTGGTTGTATCTCTCTATTAGTGCTATTGGATTTTTCAGTTGCTTTGACACAATCTGTTGTTAAAAGCGCTATATAAATAAAGGTGACTTGACTTGACTTGACTATTCTCATTTAAAGAGGCTCTGATGTGTTTTATAATCAAATATCACCTGCAAAACTCAAACCTAATGCATCTGTTCACTGTATTTTAGCCAGAAAAGCTTAATAAAATCATAACAGCAGTAATGAAACACACGGATAATTTCATCAGTAACTCACCAGCAGGTCAATATCATCAGTTAGCTCTCAATCAGGAGGTGAAGTTGCCGTCAAAAGAGCACATTTATGTCTTTAATCCCAAATCCACAAAAAACTGAAGTCAATCCGGATTAAAGTGCATTTCAACTGAAATGTGTGGCGTTGCGTATCAGACGCGCTCTGTGCTGACAGTGAGCAGGTGAATGGGCGGGGCTATCGCGAAACAACGCGAGGATTGCGTGTGCGGGTTGTCAATCAAATTAATCCCCGCCTCTGAAACCAATAGCAACCGGCTGTGATGCCGGAAACATATGTTTGGATGCCGTTCACGCTGTTTAGTCGGAATAAAGTTTTTATTCTATAAAATAACGCCATAAAGATCTTAATGAGAGGTAAGATTTCTGAATCATATTGAGATTACTTATGAACATATATTAAAACATTGAAAACGGTTGTATGTGGAACATCGGAATGATTATGTTACAATAGGACAGTTTTATCTCTCGCTCGCTCGTATTTACACATTTTAGGTCTTTATCTGTATATTATACGTTTCAATTGACAGAAATGTTGATATCAATGTTTTTATAGAACTTCATAAACAAAAAAGTGCGATATTCTTTGATGTTCAATATAAATACCATGCTAAATTAATACTGTAATCTTTCAG